GCTGTTGTGACTGCAGCTGCAGAAGTGGCCTCAGCAATGGATGTGTGTTCTGCTGCGGTTGTTACATCTGCAGCAGTTGTGTCCACTGAAGGAGAGGTTGTTCCCTCAGCTGTTGTGGTATCTGCTGAGACTGTTGTGTCTACAACAGAGGATGTCTGAGCCTCTGTTGTTACCGCATCCACACAGTTGTATCCACCACAGGACTAGTTGTTCCCTCAGCTGTGGTAGTACCTGCACCTGCTGTTGTGACTGCAGCAGTAGAAGTGGCCTCAGCAAATGGATGTTTGTTCTGCTGTGGTTGTTACATCTGCCACAGTTGTGTCCCTGAAGGAGAAGTTGTTCCCTCAGCTGTTGTGGTATCTGCCGAGATTGTTGTGTCTACACAGATGTCTGTGCCTCTGTTGTTACCACATCCCCAACAGTTGTATCCACCACAGGACTAGTTGTTCCCTCAGCTGTGGTAGTACCTGCACCTGCTGTTGTGACTGCAGCTGCAGAAGTGGCCTCAGCAATGGATGTTTGTTCTGCTGCGGTTGTCACATCTGCAGCAGTTGTGTCCACTGAAGGAGAGGTTGTTCCCTCAGCTGTTGTGGTATCTGCTGAGACTGTTTTGTTACAACAGAAGATGTCTGAGCCTCTGTTGTTACCCGCATCCACAACAGTTGTATCCACCACAGGACTAGTTGTCCCTCAGTTGTGGTAGTACCTGCACCTGCTGTTGTGACTGCAGCATAGAAGTGGCCTCAGCAATGGATGTCTGTTCTCCTGTGGTTGTCACATCTCCAGCAGTTGTGTCCACTGAAGGAGAAGTTCTTCCCTCAGCTGTTGTGGTATCTGCTGAGATTGTTGTGTCTACAACAAGAGGATGTGTGTCCTCTGTTGTTACCCCGCATCCACAACAGTTGTATCCACCGGAGGACTAGTTGTTCCCTCAGCTGTGGTAGTACCTGCACCTGCTGTTGTGACTGCAGCTGCAGAAGTGGCCTCAGCAATGGATGTCTGTTCTGCTGCAGTTGTTACATCTCCAGCAGTTGTGTCCACTGAAGGAGAAGTTGTTCCCTCAGCTGTTGTGGTATCTGCCGAGATTGTTGTGTCTACAACAGATGTCTGTGCTCTGTTGTTACACATCCACAACGTTTGTATCCACCACAGGACTAGTTGTTCCCTCAGCTGTGGTAGGACCTGCACCTGCTGTTGTGACTGCAGCTGTGGAAGTGGCCTCTGCAATGGATGTCTGTTCTGCTGCAGTTGTCACATCTGCAATAGTTGTATCCAATGAAGGAGAGGTTGTTCCCTCAGCTGTTGTGGTATCTGCCGAGATTGTTGTGTCTACAACAGAAGATGTCTGTGCCTCTGTTGTTACCACATCAACAACAGTTGTATCCACCACAGGACTAGTTGTTCCCTCAGCTGTGGTAGTACCTGCACCTGCTGTTGTGACTGCAGCTGCAGAAGTGGCCTCAGCAATGGATGTCTGTTCTGCTGCGTTGTTACATCTGCAACAGTTGTGTCCACTGAAGGAGAAGTTGTTCCTCAGCTGTTGTGGTATCTGCCGAGATTGTTGTGTCTACAACAGATGTCTGTGCCTCTGTTGTTACCACATCCACAACAGTTGTATCCACCACAGGACTAGTTGTTCCCTCTGCTGTGGTAGTACCTGCACCTGCTGTTGTGACTGCAGCTGAAGAAGTGGCCTCTGCAATGGATGTCTGTTCTGCTGCAGTTGTCACATCTGCAACAGTATGTATCCAATGAAGGAGAGGTTGTTCGCTCAGCTGTTGTGGTATCTGCCGAGATTGTTGTGTCTACAAAAGAAGACTTCTGTGCCTCTGTTGTTACGCATCCACAACAGTTGTATCCACCACAGGACTAGTTGTTCCCTCAGCTGTTGGTAGTACCTGCACCTGCTGTTGTGACTGCAGCTGCAGAAGTGGCTCAGCAATGGATGTCTGTTCTGCTGCGGTTGTTACATCTCCAGCAGTTGTGTCCACTGAAGGAGAAGTTGTTCCCTCAGCTGTTGTGGTATCTGCTGAGACTGTTGTGTCTACAACAGAGATGTCTGTGCCTGTGTTGTTACCACATCCACAACAGTTGTATCCACCACAGGACTAGTTGTTCCCTCAGCTGTGGTAGTACCTGCACCTGCTGTTGTGACTGCAGCTGCAGAAGTGGCCTCAGCAATGGATGTCTGTTCTGCTACAGTTTGTTTCATCTGCAACAGTTGTGTCCACATGAAGGAGAGTTGTTCCCTCAGCTGTTGTGGTATCTGCCGAGATTGTTTGTGACTACAACAGATGTCTGTGCCTCTGTTGTTACCACATCCACAACAGTTGTATCCACCACAGGACCAGTTGTTCCCTCAGCTGTGGTAGTACCTGCCCCTGCTGTTGTGACTGCAGCTGAAGAAGTGGCCTCTGCAATGGATGTCTGTTCTGCTGCAGTTGTCACATCTGCAGCAGTAGTATCCAATGAAGGAGAGGTTGTTCCCTCAACTGTTGTGGTATCTGCCGAGATTGTTGTGTCTACAACAGAAGATGTCTGTGCCTCTGTTGTTACCACATCCACAACAGTTGTATCCACCACAGGACTAGTTGTTTCCCTCAGCTGTGGTAGTACCTGCACCTGCTGTTGTCACTGCAGCTGTAGAAGTGGCCTCAGCAATGGATGTCTGTTCTGCTGCGGTTGTTACATCTGCAGCAGTTGTGTCCACTGAAGGAGAGGTTGTTCCCTCAGCTGTTGTGGTATCTGCTGAGACTGTTGTGTCTACAACAGAGGATGTCTGAGCCTCTGTTGTTACCGCATCCACAACAGTTGTATCCACCACAGGACTAGTTGTTCCCTCAGCTGTGGTAGTACCTGCACCTGCTGTTGTGACTGCAGCAGTAGAAGTGGCCTCAGCAATGGATGTTTGTTCTGCTGTGGTTTCACATCTGCAACAGTTGTATCACTGAAGGAGAGGTTGTTCCCTCAGCTGTTGTGGTATCTGCTGAGACTGTTGTGTCTACAACAGAGGATGTCTGAGCCTCTGTTGTTACCGCATCCACAACAGTTGTATCCACCACAGGACTAGTTGTTCCCTCAGCTGTGGTAGTACCTGCACCTGCTGTTGTGACTGCAGCTGTAGAAGTGGCCTCTGCAATGGATGTCTGTTCTGCTGCAGTTGTCACATCTGCAACAGCTGTATCCAATGAAGGAGAGGTTGTTCCCTCAGCTGTTGTGGTATCTGCCGAGATTGTTGTGTCTACAACAGAGATGTCTGGTGCCTCTGTTGTTACCACATCCACAACAGTTGTATCCACTACAGGACTAGTTGTTCCCTCAGCTGTGGTAGTACCTGCTCCTGCTGTTGTGACTGGCAGCTGCAGAAGTGGCCTCAGCAATGGATGTTTGTTCTGCTGTGGTTGTCACATCTGCAGCAGTTGTGTAAACTGAAGAAGTTCTTCCCTCAGCTGTTGTGGTATCTGCTGAGATTGTTGTGTCTACAACAGAAGATGTCTGTGCCTCTGTTGTTACCACATCCACAACAGTTGTATCCACCAGAGGACTAGTTGTTCCCTCAGCTGTGGTAGTACCTGCTCCTGCTGTTGTGACTGCAGCTGTAGAAGTGGCCTCTGCAATGGATGTCTGTTCTGCTGCAGTTGTCACATCTGCAACAGTAGTATCCAATGAAGGAGAGGTTGTTCCTCAGCTGTTGAGGTATCTGCTGAGACTGTTGTGTCTACAACAGAGGATGTCTGAGCCTCTGTTGTTACCGCATCCACAACAGTTGTATCCACCAGAGGACTAGTTGTTCCCTCAGCTGTGGTAGTACCTGCTCCTGCTGTTGTGACTGCAGCTGAAAAAGTGGCCTCTGCAATGGATGTCTGTTCTGCTGCAGTTGTCACATCTGCAACAGTGTATCCAATGAAGGAGAGGTTGTTCGCTCAGCTGTTGTGGTATCTGCCGAGATTGTTGTGTCTACAACAGATGTCTGTGCCTCTGTTGTTACCCACATCCACAACAGTTGTATCCACCACAGGACTAGTTGTTCCCTCAGCTGTGGTAGTACCTGCACCTGCTGTTGTGACTGCAGCTGCAGAAGTGGCCTCAGCAATGGATGTCTGTTCTGCTGCGGTTGTTACATCTGCAGCAGTTGTGTCCACTGAAGGAGAGGTTGTTCCCTCAGCTGTTGTGGTATCTGCCGAGATTGTTGTGACTACACAGATGTCTGTGCCTCTGTTGTTACCACATCCACAACAGTTGTATCCACCACAGGACTAGTTGTTCCCTCCGCTGTGGTAGTACCTGCACCTGCTGTTGTGACTGCAGCTGAAGAAGTGGCCTCTGCAATGGATGTCTGTTCTGCTGCAGTTGTCACATCTCCAACAGTAGTATCCTTGAAGGAGAGGTTGTTCGCTCAACTGTTGTGGTGTCTGCCGAGATTGTTTGTGTCTACAACAGAAGATGTCTGTGCCTCTGTTGTTACCACATCCACAACAGTTGTATCCACCACAGGACTAGTTGTTCCCTCAGCTGTGGTAGTACCTGCACCTGCTGTTGTGACTGCAGCTGCAGAAGTGGCCTCAGCAATGGATGTCTGTTCTGCTGCGGTTGTTACATCTGCAGCAGTTGTGTCCACTGAAGGAGAAGTTGTTCCCTCAGCTGTTGTGGTATCTGCGCGAGATTGTTGTGTCTACAACAGATGTCTGTGCCTCTGTTGTTACCACATCCACAACGGTTGTATCCACCACAGGACTAGTTGTTCCCTCTGCTGTGGTAGTACCTGCACCTGCTGTTGTGACTGCAGCTGTGGAAGTGGCCTCTGCAATGGATGTCTGTTCTGCTGCAGTTGTCACATCTGCAACAGTTGTATCCAATGAAGGAGAGGTTGTTCCCTCAGCTGTTGTGGTATCTGCCGAGATTGTTGTGTCTACAACAGAAGATGTCTGTGCCTGTGTTGTTACCACATCCACAACAGTTGTATCCACCACAGGACTAGTTGTTCCCTCAGCTGTGGTAGTACCTGCACCTGCTGTTGTGACTGCAGCTGCAGAAGTGGCCTCAGCAATGGATGTCTGTTCTGCTGCAGTTGTTTCATCTGCAGCAGTTGTGTCCACTGAAGGAGAAGTTGTTCCCTCAGCTGTTGTGGTATCTGCCGAGATTGTTGTGTCTACAACAGAGATGTCTGTGCCTCTGTTGTTACACATCCACAACAGTTGTATCCACCACACAGGACTAGTTGTTCCCTCTGCTGTGGTAGTACCTGCACCTGCTGTTGTGACTGCAGCTGAAGAAGTGGCCTCTGCAATGGATGTCTGTTCTGCTGCAGTTGTCACATCTGCAACAGTAGTATCCAATGAAGGAGAGGTTGTTCCCTCAGCTGTTGTGGTATCTGCCGAGATTGTTGTGTCTACAACAGAAGATGTCTGTGCCTCTGTTGTTACCAATCCACAACAGTTGTATCCACCACAGGACTAGTTGTTCCCTCAGCTGTGGTAGTACCTGCACCTGCTGTTGTCACTGCAGCTGCAGAAGTGGCCTCAGCAATGGATGTCTGTTCTGCTGCGGTTGTTACATCTGCAGCAGTTGTGTCCACTGAGGAGAGGTTGTTCCCTCAGCTGTTGTGGTATCTGCTGAGACTGTTGTGTCTACAACAGAGGATGTCTGAGCCTCTGTTGTTACCGCATCCACAACAGTTGTATCCACCACAGGACTAGTTGTTCCCTCAGCTGTGGTAGTACCTGCACCTGCTGTTGTGACTGCAGCGTAGAAGTGGCCTCAGCAATGGATGTTTGTTCTGCTGTGGTTGTTCACATCTGCAGCAGTTGTGTCCACTGAAGGAGAAGTTGTTCCCTCAGCTGTTGTGGTATCTGCCGAGATTGTTGTGTCTACAACAGATGTCTGTGCCTCTGTTGTTACCACATCCACAACGGTTGTATCCACCAAAGGACTAGTTGTTCCCTCTGCTGTGGTAGTACCTGCACCTGCTGTTGTGACTGCAGCTGTAGAAGTGGCCTCAGCAATGGATGTCTGTTCTGCTGCAGTTGTCACATCTGCAACATTGTATCCAATGAAGGAGAGGTTGTTCCCTCAGCTGTTGTGGTATCTGCCGAGATTGTTGTGTCTACAACAGAAGATGTCTGTGCCTCTGTTGTTACCACATCCACAACAGTTGTATCCACCACAGGACTAGTTGTTCCCTCAGCTGTGGTAGTACCTGCACCTGCTGTTGTGACTGCAGCTGCAGAAGTGGCCTCAGCAATGGATGTTTGTTCTGCTGTGGTTGTCACATCTGCAGCAGTTGTGTAAACTGAAGAAGTTCTTCCCTCAGCTGTTGTGGTATCTGCTGAGATTGTTGTGTCTACAACAGAAGATGTCTGTGCCTCTGTTGTTACCACATCCACAACAGTTGTATCCACCACAGGACTAGTTGTTCCCTCAGCTGTGGTAGTACCTGCACCTGCTGTTGTGACTGCAGCTGAAGAAGTGGCCTCTGCAATGGATGTCTGTTCTGCTGCAGTTGTCACATCTGCAACAGTAGTATCCAATGAAGGAGAGGTTGTTCGCTCAGCTGTTGTGGTATCTGCCGAGATTGTTGTGTCTACAACAGAAGAAGTCTGTGCCTCTGTTGTTACCACATCCACAACAGTTGTATCCACCACAGGACTAGTTGTTCCCTCAGCTGTGGTAGTACCTGCACCTGCTGTTGTGACTGCAGCTGTAGAAGTGGCCTCAGCAATGGATGTCTGTTCTGCTGCGGTTGTTACATCTGCAGCAGTTGTGTCCACTGAAGGAGAGGTTGTTCCCTCAGCTGTTGTGGTATCTGCTGAGATTGTTGTGTCTACAACAGAAGATGTCTGTGCCTCTGTTGTAACCACATCCACAACAGTTGTATCCACCACAGGACTAGTTGTTCCCTCAGCTGTGGTAGTACCTGCACCTGCTGTTGTGACTGCAGCTGAGAAGTGGCCTCAGCAATGGATGTCTGTTCTGCTGCGGTTGTTACATCTGCAGCAGTTGTGTCCACTGAAGGAGAAGTTGTTCCCTCAGCTGTTGTGGTATCTGCCGAGATTGTTGTGTCTACAACAGATGTCTGTGCCTCTGTTGTTACCACATCCACAACGGTTGTATCCACCACAGGACTAGTTGTTCCCTCTGCTGTGGTAGTACCTGCACCTGCTGTTGTGACTGCAGCTGTGGAAGTGGCCTCAGCAATGGATGTCTGTTCTGCTGCAGTTGTCACATCTGCAACAGTTGTATCCAATGAAGGAGAGTTGTTCCCTCAGCTGTTGTGGTATCTGCCGAGATTGTTGTGTCTACAACAGAAGATGTCTGTGCCTCTGTTGTTACCACATCCACAACAGTTGTATCCACCACAGGACTAGTTGTTCCCTCAGCTGTGGTAGTACCTGCACCTGCTGTTGTGACTGCAGCTGCAGAAGTGGCCTCAGCAATGGATGTCTGTTCTGCTGCAGTTGTTTCATCTGCAACAGTTGTGTCCACTGAAGGAGAAGTTGTTCCCTCAGCTGTTGTGGTATCTGCCGAGATTGTTGTGTCTACAACAGATGTCTGTGCCTCTGTTGTTACCACATCCACAACAGTTGTATCCACCACAGGACTAGTTGTTCCCTCAGCTGTGGTAGTACCTGCACCTGCTGTTGTGACTGCAGCTGCAGAATGGCCTCAGCAATGGATGTCTGTTCTGCTGCGGTTGTTACATCTCGCAGCAGTTGTATCCCTGAAGGAGAAGTTGTTCCCTCAGCTGTTGTGGTATCTGCTGAGATTGTTGTGTCTACAACAGAGATGTCTGTGCCTCTGTTGTTACCACATCCACAACAGTTGTATCCACCACAGGACTAGTTGTTCCCTCTGCTGTGGTAGTACCTGCAACCTGCTGTTGTGACTGCAGCTGTAGAAGTGGCCTCTGCAATGGATGTTGTTCTGCTGGGTTGTCACATCTGCAACAGTTGTATCCACTGAAGGAGAGGTTGTTCCCTCAGCTGTTGTGGTATCTGCCGAGATTGTTGTGTCTACAACAGAAGATGTCTGTGCCTCTGTTGTTACCACATCCACAACAGTTGTATCCACCACAGGACTAGTTGTTCCCTCAGCTCTGGTAGTACCTGCACCTGCTGTTGTGACTGCAGCTGTAGAAGTGACCTCAGCAATGGATGTCTGTTCTGCTGCGTCTGTACATCTGCAGCAGTTGTGTCCACTGAAGGAGATGTTGTTCCCTCAGCTGTTGTGGTATCTGCTGAGATTGTTGTGTCCACAACAGAAGATGTCTGTGCCTCTGTTGTTACCACATCCACAACAGTTGTATCCACCACAGGACTAGTTGTTCCTCAGCTGTGGTAGTACCTGCACCTGCTGTTGTGACTGCAGCAGTAGAAGTGGCCTCAGCAATGGATGTCTGTTCTGCTGCAGTTGTCACATCTGCAGCAGTTGTGTCCACTGAAGGAGAAGTTGTTCCCTCAGCTGTTGTGGTATCTGCTGAGACTGTTGTGTCTACAACAGAGATCTGTGCCTGTGTTGTTACCACATCCACAACAGTTGTATCCACCACAGGACTAGTTGTTCCCTCAGCTGTGGTAGTACCTGCACCTGCTGTTGTGACTGCAGCTGCAGAAGTGGCCTCTGCAATAGATGTCTTTTCTGCTGCAGTTGTCACATCTGCAGCAGTTGTGTCCACTGAAGGAGAGGTTGTTCCCTCAGCTGTTGTGGTATCTGCTGAGATTGTTGTGTCTACAACAGAGGATGTCTGTGCCTCTGTTGTTACCACATCCACAACAGTTGTATCCACCACAGGACTAGTTGTTCCCTCAGCTGTGGTAGTACCTGCGCCTGCTGTTGTGACTGCAGCTGCAGAAGTGGCCTCAGCAATGGATGTCTGTTCTGCTGCGGTCGTTACATCTGCAGCAGTTGTGTCCACTGAAGGAGAGGTTGTTCCCTCAGCTGTTGTGGTATCTGCTGAGACTGTTGTGTCTACAACAGAGGATGTCTGAGCCTCTGTTGTTACCCGCATCCACAACAGTTGTATCCACCACAGGACTAGTTGTTCCCTCTGCTGTGGTAGTACCTGCACCTGCTGTTGTGACTGCAGCTGTAGAAGTGGCCTCAGCAATGGATGTCTGTTCTGCTGTGGTTGTCACATCTGCAGCAGTTGTGTCCACTGAAGGAGAGGTTGTTCCCTCAGCTGTTGTGGTATCTGCTGAGACTGTGTGTCTACAACAGAGGATGTCTGAGCCTCTGTTGTTACCGCATCCACAACAGTTGTATACACCACAGGACTAGTTGTTCCCTCAGCTGTGGTAGTAACTGCACCTGCTGTTGTGACTGCAAATGCAGAAGTGGCCTCAGCAATGGATGTCTGTTCTGCTGCGGTTGTGACATCTGCAGCAGTTGTGTCCACTGAAGGAGAAGTTGTTCCCTCAGCTGTTGTGGTATCTGCGAGATTGTTGTGTCTACAACAGAAGATGTCTGTGCCTCTGTTGTTACCACATCCACAACAGTTGTATCCAAAACAGGGCTAGTTTTTCCCTCAGCTGTGGTAGTACCTGCACCTGCTGTTGTGACTGCAGCTGTAGAAGTGGCCTCCGCAATAGATGTCTGTTCTGCGTCAGTTGTCACATCTGCAGCAGTTGTGTCCACTGAAGGAGAGGTTGTTCCCTCAGCTGTTGTGGTATCTGCTGAGATTGTTGTGTCTACAACAGAGGATGTCTGAGCCTCTGTTGTTACTACATCCACAACAGTTGTATCCACAAAAGGACTAGTTGTTCCCTCAGCTGTGGTAGTACCTGCACCTGCTGTTGTGACTGCAGCTGCAGAAGTGGCCTCAGCAATGGATGTCTGTTCTGCTGCGGTTGTTACATCTGCAGCAGTTGTGTCCACTGAAAAAAAGTTGTCTCCCTCAGCTGTTGTGGTATCTGCGAGATTGTTGTGTCTACAACAGAGGATGTCTGTGCCTCTGTTGTTACCACATCCACAACAGTTGTATCCACCAGAGGACTAGTTGTTCCCTCAGCTGTGGTAGTACCTGCACCTGCTGTTGTGACTGCAGCTGCAGAAGTGGCCTCAGCAATGGATGTCTGTTCTGCTGCGGTTGTTACATCTCCAGCAGTTGTGTCCACTGAAGGAGAAGTTGTTCCCTCAGCTGTTGTGGTATCTGCCGAGATTGTTGTGTCTACAACAGATGTCTGTGCCTCTGTTGTTACCACATCCACAACAGTTGTATCCACCACAGGACTAGTTGTTCCCTCAGCTGTGGAGTACCTGCACCTGCTGTTGTGACTGCAGCTGTAGAAGTTGCCACTGCAATGGATGTCTGTTCTGCTGCAGTTGTCACATCTGCAACAGTTGTGTCCACTGAAGGAGAGGTTGTTCCCTCAGCTGTTGTGGTATCTGCTGAGATTGTTGTGTCTACAACAGAGGATGTCTGAGCCTCTGTTGTTACCGCATCCACAACAGTTGTATCCACCACAGGACTAGTTGTTCCCTCTGCTGTGGTAGTACCTGCACCTGCTGTTGTGACTGCAGCTGTAGAAGTGCCTCAGCAATGGATGTCTGTTCTGCTGTGGTTGTCACATCTGCAACAGTTGTGTCCACTGAAGGAGAGGTTGTTCCCTCAGCTGTTGTGGTATCTGCTGAGATTGTTGTGTCTACAACAGAAGATTTCTGAGCCACTGTTGTTACCGCATCCACAACAGTTGTATCCACCACAGGACTAGTTGTTCCCTCTGCTGTGGTAGTACCTGCACCTGCTGTTGTGACTGCAGCTGTAGAAGTGGCCTCAGCAATGGATGTCTGTTCTGCTGTGGTTGTTACATCTGCAGCAGTTGTGTCCACTGAAGGAGAGGTTGTTCCCTCAGCTGTTGTGGTATCTGCTGAGATTGTTGTGTCTACAACAGAGATGTCTGAGCCTCTGTTGTTACCACATCCACAACAGTTGTATCCACCACAGGACTAGTTGTTCCCTCTGCTGAGGTAGTACCTGCACCTGCTGTTGTGACTGCAGCTGTAGAAGTGGCCTCAGCAATGGATGTCTGTTCTGCTGTTGTTGTCACATCTGCAGCAGTTGTGTCCACTGAAGAGAAGTTCTACCCTCAGCTGTTGTGGTATCTGCCGAGATTGTTGTGTCTACAACAGAAGATGTCTGTGCCTCTGTTGTTACCGCATCCACAACAGTTGTATCCACCACAGGACTAGTTGTTCCCTCAGCTGTGGAAGTACCTGCATCTGCTGTTGTGACTGCAGCTGTAGAAGTGACCTCAGCAATGGATGTCTGTTCTGCTGCAGTTGTCACATCTGCAACAGTTGTATCCATGAAGGAGAGGTTGTTCCCTCAGCTGTTGTGGTATCTGCCGAGATTGTTGTGTCTACAACAGAAGATGTCTGTGCCTCTGTTGTTACCGCATCCACAACAGTTGTATCCACCACAGGACTAGTTGTTCCCTCAGCTGTGGTAGTACCTGCACCTGCTGTTGTGACTGCAGCTGTAGAAGTGACCTCAGCAATGGATGTCTGTTCTGCTGCAGTTGTCACATCTGCACAGTTGTATCCATGAAGGAGAGGTGTTCCCTCAGCTGTTGTGGTATCTGCCGAGATTGTTGTGTCTACAACAGACGATGTCTGAGCCTCTGTTGTTACCGCATCCACAACAGTTGTATCCACCACAGGACTAGTTGTTCCCTCAGCTGTGGTAGTACCTGCACCTGCTGTTGTGACTGCAGCTGTAGAAGTGGCCTCCGCAATAGATGTCTGTTCTGCTGTGGTTGTTACATCTGCAGCAGTTGTGTCCACTGAAGGAGAGGTTGTTCCCTCAGCTGTTGTTGGTATCTGCTGAGATTGTTGTGTCTACAACAGAAGATGTCTGTGCCTCTGTTGTTACCACATCCACAACAGTTGTATCCACCACAGGACTAGTTGTTCCCTCAGCTGTGGTAGTACCTGCACCTGCTGTTGTGACTGCAGCTGCAGAAGTGGCCTCAGCAATGGATGTCTGTTCTGCTGCGGTTGTTACATCTGCAGCAGTTGTGTCCACTGAAGGAGAGGTTGTTCCCTCAGCTGTTGTTGTATGTGCCGAGATTGTTGTGTCTACAACAGAGGATGTCTGAGCCTCTGTTGTTACCATATCCACAACAGTTGTATCCACCACAGGACTAGTTGTTCCCTCTGCTGTGGTAGTACCTGCACCTGCTGTTGTGACTGCAGCTGTAGAAGTGGACTCAGCAATGGATGTCTGTTCTGCTGTGGTTGTCACATCTGCAGCAGTTGTGTCCACTGAAGAAGAAGTTCTTCCCTCAGCTGTTGTGGTTTGCCGAGATTGTTGTGTCTACAACAGAAGATGTCTGTGCCTCTGTTTGTTACCGCATCCACAACAGTTGTATCCACCACAGGACTAGTTGTTCCCTCAGCTGTGGAAGTACCTACATCTGCTGTTGTGACTGCAGCTGTAGAAGTGACCTCAGCAATGGATGTCTGTTCTGCTGCAGTTGTCACATCTGCAGCAGTTGTATCCAATGAAGGAGAGGTTGTTCCCTCAGCTGTTGTGGTATCTGCTGAGATTGTTGTGTCTACAAGAAGATGTCTGTGCCTCTGTTGTAACCACATCCACAACAGTTGTATCCACCACAGGACTAGTTGTTCCTCAGCTGTGGTAGTACCTGCACCTGCTGTTGTCACTGCAGCTGCAGAAGTGGCCTCAGCAATGGATGTCTGTTCTGCTGCGGTTGTTACATCTGCAGCAGTTGTGTCCACTGAAGGAGAGGTTGTTCCCTCAGCTGTTGTTGTATCTGCTGAGATTGTTGTGTCTACAACAGAGGATGTCTGAGCCTCTGTTGTTACCATATCCACAACAGTTGTATCCACCACAGGACTAGTTGTTCCCTCTGCTGTGGTAGTACCTGCACCTGCTGTTGTGACTGCAGCTGTAGAAGTGGCCTCAGCAATGGATGTCTGTTCTGCTGTGGTTGTCACATCTGCAGCAGTTGTGTCCACTGAAAAAGAAGTTCTACCCTCAGCTGTTGTTGTATCTGCCGAGATAGTTGTGTCTACAACAGAAGATGTCTGTGCCTCTGTTGTTACGGCATCCACAACAGTTGTATCCACCACAGGACTAGTTGTTCCCTCAGCTGTGGTAGTACCTGCATCTACTGTTGTGACTGCAGCTGCAGAAGTGACCTCAGCAATGGATGTCTGTTCTGCTGCGGTTGTTACATCTGCAGCAGTTGTGTCCACTGAAGGAGAGGTTGTTCCTCAGCTGTTGTGTAGCTGCTGAGATTGTTGTGTCTACAACAGAGGATGTCTGAGCCTCTGTTGTTACCACATCCACAACAGTTGTATCCACCACAGGACTAGTTGTTCCCTCTGCTGTGGTAGTACCTGCACCTGCTGTTGTGACTGCAGCTGTAGAAGTGGCCTCAGCAATGGATGTCTGTTCTGCTTTGGTTGTCACATCTGCAGCAGTTGTGTCCACTGAAGAAGAAGTTCTTCCCTCAGCTGTTGTGGTATCTGCTGAGATGTTGTGTCTACAACAGAAGATGTCTGTGCCTCTGTTGTTACCGCATCCACAACAGTTGTATCCACCACAGGACTAGTTGTTCCCTCAGCTGTGGTAGTACCTGCATCTGCTGTTGTGACTGCAGCTGTAGAAGTGACCTCAGCAATGGATGTCTGTTCTGCTGCAGTTGTTACATCTGCAGCAGTTGTGTCCACTGAAGGAGAGGTTGTTCCCTCAGCTGTTGTGGTATCTGCTGAGATTGTTGTGTCACAACAGAAGATGTCTGTGGCTCTGTTGTTACCATATCCACAACAGTTGTATCCACCACAGGACTAGTTGTTCCCTCAGCTGTGGTAGTACCTGCACCGGGTGTTGTCACTGCAGCTGCAGAAGTGGCCTCAGCAATGGATGTCTGTTCTGCTGCTGTTGTTACATCTGCAGCAGTTGTGTCCACTGAAGAGAAGTTGTTCCCTCAGCTGTTGTGGTATCTGCCGAGACTGTTGTGTCTACAACAGAGGATGTCTGAGCCTCTGTTGTTACCGCATCCACAACAGTTGTATCCACCACAGGACTAGTTGTTCCCTCAGCTGTGGTAGTACCTGCACCTGCTGTTGTGACTGCAGCTGTAGAAGTGGCCTCAGCAATGGATGTCTGTTCTGCTGTGGTTGTCACGTCTGCAGCAGTTGTGTCCACTGAAGGAGAGGTTGTTCCCTCAGCTGTTGTGGTAGCTGCTGAGATTGTTGTGTCTACAACAGAGGATGTCTGAGCCTCTGTTGTTACCACATCCACAACAGTTGTATCCACCACAGGACTAGTTGTTCCCTCTGCTGTGGTAGTACCTGCACCTGCTGTTGTGAACTGCAGCTGTAGAAGAGGCCTCAGCAATGGATGTCTGTTCTGCTTTGGTTGTCACATCTGCAGCAGTTGTGTCCACTGAAGAAGAAGTTTTTCCCTCAGCTGTTGTGGTATCTGCTGAGATTGTTGTGTCTACAACAGAAGATGTCTGTGCCTCTGTTGTTACCGCATCCACAACAGTTGTATCCACCACAGGACTAGTTGTTCCTCAGCTGTGGTAGTACCTGCATCTGCTGTTGTGACTGCAGCTGTAGAAGTGACCTCAGCAATGGATGTCTGTTCTGCTGCGGTTGTTACATCTGCAGCAGTTGTTACATCTGCAGCAGTTGTGTCCACTGAAGGAGAGGTGTTCCCTCAGCTGTTGTGGTATCTGCTGAGATTGTTGTGTCACAACAGAAGATGTCTGTGCCTCTGTTGTTACCATATCCACAACAGTTGTATCCACCACAGGACTAGTTGTTCCTCTGCTGTGGTAGTACCTGCACTGCTGTTGTGACTGCAGCTGCAGAAGTGGCCTCAGCAATGGATGTCTGTTCTGCTGCGGTTGTTACATCTGCAGCAGTTGTGTCCACTGAAGGAGAAGTTGATCCCGCAGGTGTTGTGGTATCTGCCGAGACTGTTGTGTCTACAACAAAGGATGTCTGAGCCTCTGTTGTTACCGCATCCACAACAGTTGTATCCACCACAGGACTAGTTGTTCCCTCAGCTGTGGTAGTACCTGCACCTGCTGTTGTGACTGCAGCTGTAGAAGTGGCCTCAGCAATGATGTCTGTTCTGCTGTGGTTGTCACATCTGCAGCAGTTGTGTCCACTGAAGGAGAGGTTGTTCCCTCAGCTGTTGTGGTATCTGCTGAGATTGTTGTGTCCACAACAGAAGATGTCTGTGCCTCTGTTGTTACCATATCCACACAGTTGTATCCACCACAGGACTAGTTGTTCCCTCAGCTGTGGTAGTACCTGCACCTGCTGTTGTGACTGCAGCTGCAGAAGTGGCCTCAGCAATGGATGTCTGTTCTGCTGCGGTTGTTACATCTGCAGCAGTTGTGTCCACTGAAGGAGAAGTTGTTCCCTCAGCTGTTGTGGTATCTGCCGAGATTGTTGTGGGTACAACAGATGACGTCTGAGCCTCTGTTGTTACGGCATCCACAACAGTTGTATCCACCACAGGACTAGTTGTTCCCTCAGCTGTGGTAGTACCTGCACCTGCTGTTGTGACTGCAGCTGCAGAAGTGGCCTCAGCAATGGATGTTTGTTCTGCTGCGGTTGTTACATCTGCAGCAGTTGTGTCCACTGAAGAAGAAGTTGTACCTCAGCTGTTGTGGTATGTGCCGAGATTGTTGTGTCTACAACAGAGGATGTCTGTGCCTCTGTTGTTACCACATCCACAACAGTTGTATCCACCACAGGACTAGTTGTTCCCTCAGCTGTGGAGTACCTGCATCTGCTGTTGTGACTGCAGCTGTAGAAGTGACCTCAGCAACGGATGTCTGTTCTGCTGCAGTTGTCACATCTGCAACAGTTGTATCCAATGAAGGAGAGGTTGTTCCTCAGCTGTTGTGGTATCTGCCGAGATTGTTGTGTCTACAACAGACGATGTCTGAGCCTCTGTTGTTACCGCATCCACAACAGTTGTATCCACCACAGGACTAGTTGTTCCCTCAGCTGTGGTAGTACCTGCACCTGCTGTTGTGACTGCAGCTGTAGAAGTGGCCTCCGCAATAGATGTCTGTTCTGCTGTGTTGTTACATCTGCAGCAGTTGTGTCCACTGAAGGAGAAGTTCTTCCCTCAGCTGTTGTGGTATCTGCTGAGATTGTTGTGTCCACAACAGAAGATGTTTTGTCCTCTGTTGTTACTACATCCACAACAGTTGTATCCACCACAGGACTAGTTGTTCCCTCAGCTGTGGTAGTACCTGCACCTGCTGTTGTGACTGCAGCTGTAGAAGTGGCCTCCGCAATAGATGTCTGTTCTGCCGTGGTTGTCACATCTGCAGCAGTTGTGTCCACTGAAGGAGAGGTTGTTCCCTCAGCTGTTGAGGTTCTGCTGAGATTGTTGTGTCTACAACAGAAGATGTCTGAGCCTCTGTTGTTACCACATCCACAACAGTTGTATCCACCACAGGACTAATTGTTCCCTCTGCTGTGGTAGTACCTGCACCTGCTGTTGTGACTGCAGCTGTAGAAGTGGCCTCAGCAATGGATGTCTGTTCTGCTGTGGTTGTCACATCTGCAGTAGTTGTGTCCACTGAAGAAGAAGTTCTACCCTCAGCTGTTGTTGTATGTGCCGAGATTGTTGTGTCTACAACAGAAGATGTCTGAGCCTCTGTTGTTACCACATCCACAACAGTTGTATCCACCACAGGACTAGTTGTTCCCTCAGCTGTGGTAGTACCTGCACCTGCTGTTGTGACTGCAGCTGCAGAAGTGGCCTCAGCAATGGATGTCTGTTCTGCTGCGGTTGTTACATCTGCAGCAGTTGTGTCCACTGAAGGAGAGGTTGTTCCCTCAGCTGTTGTGTATGTGCTGAGATTGTTGTGTCTACAACAGAAGATGTCTGTGCCTCTGTTGTTACCGCATCCACAACAGTTGTATCCACCACAGGACTAGTTGTTCCTCAGCTGTGGTAGTACCTGCACCTGCTGTTGTGACTGCAGCTGTAGAAGTGGCCTCCGCAATAGATGTCTGTTCTGCTGTGTTGTACATCTGCAGCAGTTGTGTCCACTGAAGGAGAGGTTGTTCCCTCAGCTGTTGTGGTATCTGCTGAGATTGTTGTGTCTACAACAGAGGATGTCTGAGCCTCTGTTGTTACCACATCCACAACAGTTGTATCCACAAAAGGACTAGTTGTTCCCTCAGCTGTGGTAGTACCTGCACCTGCTGTTGTGACTGCAGCTGTAGAAGTGGCCTCAGCAATAGATGTCTGTTCTGCCGTGGTTGTCACATCTGCAGCAGTTGTGTCCACTGAAGGAGAGGTTGTTCCCTCAGCTGTTGAGTATCTGCTGAGATTGTTGTGTCTACAACAGAGGATGTCTGAGCCTCTGTTGTTACCATTCCACAACAGTTGTATCCACCACAGGACTAGTTGTTCCCTCTGCTGTGGTAGTACCTGCACCTGCTGTTGTGACTGCAGCTGTAGAAGTGGCCTCAGCAATGGATGTTCTGTTCTGCTGTGGTTGTCACATCTGCAGCAGTTGTGTCCACTGAAGAAGAGTTCTACCCTCAGCTGTTGTTGTATGTGCCGAGATTGTTGTGTCTACAACAGAAGATGTCTGTGCCTCTGTTGTTACCGCATCCACAACAGTTGTATCCACCACAGGACTAGTTGTTCCCTCAGCTGTGGTAGTACCTGCATCTACTGTTGTGACTGCAGCTGTAGAAGTGACCTCAGCAATGGATGTCTGTTCTGCTGCGGTTGTTAATCTGCAGCAGTTGTGTCCACTGAAGGAGAGGTTGTTCCCTCAGCTGTTGTGGTAGCTGCTGAGATTGTTGTGTCTACAACAGAGGATGTCTGAGCCTCTGTTGTTACCACATCCACAACAGTTGTATCCACCACAGGACTAGTTGTTCCCTCAGCTGTGGTAGTACCTGCACCTGCTGTTGTGACTGCAGCTGTAGAAGTGGCCTCAGCAATGGATGTCTGTTCTGCTGTGGTTGTCACATCTGCAGCAGTTGTGTCCACTGAAGAAGAGTTCTATCCCTCAGCTGTTGTGGTATGTGCCGAGATTGTTGTGTCTACAACAGAAGATGTCTGTGCCTCTGTTGTTACCACATCCACAACAGTTGTATCCACCACAGGACTAGTTGTTCCTCAGCTGTGGAAGTACCTGCATCTGCTGTTGTGACTGCAGCTGTAGAAGTGACCTCAGCAACGGATGTCTGTTCTGCTGCAGTTGTCACATCTGCAACAGTTGTATCCATGAAGGAGAGGTTGTTCCTCAGCTGTTGTGGTATCTGCCGAGATTGTTGTGTCTACACAGACGATGTCTGAGCCTCTGTTGTTAACGCATCACAACAGTTGTATCCACCACAGACTAGTTGTTCCCTCAGCTGTGGTAGTACCTGCACCTGCTGTTGTGACTGCAGCTGTAGAAGTGGCCTCCGCAATAGATGTCTGTTCTGCTGTGGTTGTCACATCTGCAGCAGTTGTGTCCCTGAAGGAGAAGTTCTTCCTCAGCTGTTGTGGTATCTGCTGAGATTGTTGTGTCCACAACAGAAGATGTTTGGTGCCTCTGTTGTTACACATCCACAACAGTGTATCCACCACAGGACTAGTTGTTCCCTCAGCTGTGGTAGTACCTGCACCTGCTGTTGTGACTGCAGCTGTAGAAGTGGCCTCCGCAATAGATGTCTGTTCTGCCGTGGTTGTCACATCTGCAGCAGTTGTGTCCACTGAAGGAGAGGTTGTTCCCTCAGCTGTTGAGGTATCTGCTGAGATTGTTGTGTCTACAACAGAAGATGTCTGAGCCTCTGTTGTTACCATATCCACAACAGTTGTATCCACCACAGGACTAATTGGTTCCTCTGCTGTGGTAGTACCTGCACCTGCTGTTGTGACTGCAGCTGTAGAAGTGGCCTCAGCAATGGATGTCTGTTCTGCTGTGGTTGTCACATCTGCAGTAGTTGTGTCCACTGAGAAGAAGTTCTACCCTCAGCTGTTGTTGTATCTGCCGAGATTGTTGTGTCTACAACAGAAGATGTCTGAGCCTCTGTTGTTACCACATCCACAACAGTTGTATCCACCACAGGACTAGTGTTCCCTCAGCTGTGGTAGTACCTGCACCTGCTGTTGTGACTGCAGCTGCAGAAGTGGCCTCAGCAATGGATGTCTGTTCTGCTGCGGTTGTTACATCTGCAGCAGTTTGTCCACTGAAGGAGAGGTTGTTCCCTCAGCTGTTGTTGTATGTGCCCAGATTGTTGTGTCTACAACAGAAGATGTCTGTGCCTCTGTTGTTACCGCATCCACAACAGTTGTATCCACCACAGGACTAGTTGTTCCCTCAGCTGTGGTAGTACCTGCACCTGCTGTTGTGACTGCAGCTGTAGAAGTGGCCTCCGCAATAGATGTCTGTTCTGCTGTGGTTGTTACATCTGCAGCAGTTGTGTCCACTGAAGGAGAAGTTGTTCCCTCAGCTGTTGTGGTATCTGCTGAGATTGTTGTGTCTACAACAGAGGATGTCTGAGCCTCTGTGTTACCACATCCACAACAGTTGTATCCACAAAAGGACTAGTTGTTCCCTCAGCTGTGGTAGTACCTGCACTGCTGTTGTGACTGCAGCTGTAGAAGTGGCCTCCGCAATAGATGTCTGTTCTGCCGTGGTTGTCAATCTGCAAAGTTGTGTCCACTGAAGGAGAGGTTGTTCCCTCAGCTGTTGAGGTATCTGCTGAGATTGTTGTGTCTACAACAGAGGATGTCTGAGCCTCTGTTGTTACCATATCCACAACAGTTGTATCCACCACAGGACTAGTTGTTCCCTCTGCTGTGGTAGTACCTGCACCTGCTGTTGTGACTGCAGCTGTAGAAGTGGCCTCAGCAATGGATGTCTGTTCTGCTGTGGTTGTCACATCTGCAGCAGTTGTGTCCACTGAAGAAGAGTTCTACCCTCAGCTGTTGTTGTATCTGCGAGATTGTTGTGTCTACAACAGAAGATGTCTGTGCCTCTGTTGTTACCAGCATCCACAACAGTTGTATCCACCACAGGACTAGTTGTTCCCTCAGCTGTGGTAGTACCTGCATCTACTGTTGTGACTGCAGCTGTAGAAGTGACCTCACAATGGATGTCTGTTCTGCTGCGGTTGTTAAATCTGCAGCAGTTGTGTCCACTGAAGGAGAGGTTGTTCCTCAGCTGTTGTGGTATCTGCTGAGATTGTTGTGTCTACAACAGAGGATGTCTGAGCCTCTGTTGTTACCACATCCACAACAGTTGTATCCACCACAGGACTAGTTGTTCCCTCTGCTGTGGTAGTACCTGCACCTGCTGTTGTGACTGAAGCTGTAGAAGTGGCCTCAGCAATGGATGTCTGTTCTGCTTTGGTTGTCACATCTGCAGCAGTTGTGTCCACTGAAGAAGAAGTTCTTCCCTCAGCTGTTGTGGTATCTGCTGAGATTGTTGTGTCTACAACAGAAGATGTCTGTGCCTCTGTTGTTACCGCATCCACAACAGTTGTATCCACCACAGGACTAGTTGTTCCCTCAGCTGTGGTAGTACCTGCATCTGCTGTTGTGACTGCAGCTGTAGAAGTGGCCTCAGCAATAGATGTCTGTTCTGCTGCTGTTGTTACATCTGCAGCAGTTGTGTCCACTGAAGAAGAGTTGTTCCCTCAGCTGTTGTGGTATCTGCTGAGATTGTTGTGTCTACAACAGAGGATGTCTGAGCCTCTGTTGTTACCACATCCACAACAGTTGTATCCACAAAAGGACTAGTTGTTCCCTCATCTGTGGTAGTACCTGCACCTGCTGTTGTGACTGCAGCTGAAGAAGTGGCCTCGCAATAGATGTCTGTTCTGCCGTGGTTGTCACATCTGCAGCAGTTGTGTCACTGAAGGAGAGGTTGTTCCCTCAGCTGTTGAGGTATCTGCTGAGATTGTTGTGTCTACAACAGAGGATGTCTGAGCCTCTGTTGTTACCATATCCACAACAGTTGTATCCACCACAGGACTAGTTGTTCCCTCTGCTGTGGTAGTACCTGCACCTGCTGTTGTGACTGCAGCTGTAGAAGTGGCCTCAGCAATGGATGTCTGTTCTGCTGTGGTTGTCACATCTGCAGTAGTTGTGTCCACTGAAGAAGAAGTTTCTCCCTCAGCTGTTGTTGTATCTGCGAGATTGTTGTGTCTACAACAGAAGATGTCTGAGCCTCTGTTGTTACCACATCCACAACAGTTGTATCCACCACAGGACTAGTTGTTCCCTCTGCTGTGGTAGTACCTGCACCTGCTGTTGGACTGCAGCTGTAGAAATGGCCTCAGCAATGGATGTCTGTTCTGCTTGGTTGTTACATCTGCAGCAGTTGTGTCCACTGAAGGAGAATTGTTCCCTCAGCTGTTGTTGGTATCTGCCGAGACTGTTGTGTCTACAACAGAGGATGTCTGAGCCTCTGTTGTTACCGCATCCACAACAGTTGTATCCACCCACAGGACTAGTTTTCCTCTGCTGTGGTAGTACCTGCACATGCTGTTGTGACTGCAGCTGTAGAAGTGGCCTCAGCAATGGATGTCTGTTCTGCTGTGGTTGTCACATCTGCAGCAGTTGTGTCCACTGAAGGAGAGGTTGTTCCCTCAGCTGTTGTGGTTATCTGCTGAGATTGTTGTGTCCACAACAGAAGATGTCTGTGCCTCTGTTGTTACCATATCCACAACAGTTGTATCCACCACAGGACTAGTTGTTCCCTCTGCTGTGGTAGTACCTGCCCTGCTGTTGTGACTGCAGCTGCAGAAGTGGCCTCAGCAATGGATGTCTGTTCTGCTGCGGTTGTTACATCTGCAGCAGTTGTGTCCACTGAAGGAGAAGTTGTTCCCTCAGCTGTTGTGGTATCTGCCGAGACTGTTGTGTCTACAACAGAGGATGTCTGTGCCTCTGTTGTTACCGCATCCACAACAGTTGTATCCACCACAGGACTAGTTGTTCCCTCAGCTGTGGTAGTACCTGCACCTGCTGTTGTGAATGCAGCAGTAGAAGTGGCCTCAGCAATGGATGTCTGTTCTGCTGTGGTTGTCAATCTGCAGCAGTTGTGTCACTGAAGAAGAGGTTGTTGTCTCAACTGAAGTGGTATCTGAAGCCATTGTTGTGGCTCCACTGTAGAAGTGGCTTCAACAGTAGTTGTCTGTGCTGATGTTGTTGCTGCAACTGTAGGGGTTGCTTCAGTGGTGGTGGTATGAGCTGGTGAAGTGTTGCCATCTTCCGTTGTTGCCGCAGTGGTGTGGCGTCAATGCTAGGTCTGTGTTTCTGTGGGTGTCACACCTGCAGTTGGATTAGTTGTTACCTCAGCTGTAGTGGAGCCTCCAACTGTTGTTGTTGATGTTGTTGTTTTTACTGTAGTGGTGGTTTTCATCACTTGCTGTCAGTGCTGCTGTAGTTATAAGTGATCTGGAGTTGTAGTCTCTGTTGT